GGCTAGAGTGAGTGCCGTGGCGTAAGCCTAGCTCACAGCAACCTCAAACTCCTGGGCTCAGGCGATCCTCCTGCCTCAGCCTCCCGAGTAGCTGGGACTACAGGCATGCGCCACCATGCCTGGCTAATTTTTTCTATATATTTTAGTTGTCCAATTAATTTCTTTCTATTTTTAGTAGAGACAGGGTATCGCTCTTGCTCAGGCTGGTCTCGAACTCCTGAGCTCAAACAATCCGCCCACCTCGGCCTCCCAGAGTGCTAGGATTACAGGCGTGAGCCACCGCACCCGGCCAGAACCCCCCTTTCTTTATGTGGGATAAGGACGGAGTCAGTGAAGGTGTGTGACAAAGGGCACCTGCTTGAGACCTCTTAGATACATCTCTAAGGGGGAGACTATTTAAGCTGATACTTGAAGGATAAGGATTTGGCCCTGGGGTGAATGGGTTGAAGAAGAGAATCCTGGGAACCAGAAACAGCCTGTCTGAATAGTGAAAGGAGCTGAAAGGAGCAGTTTGTGTAGAGCTTAGTGGCTGAGGGGGAAGGAGGGAGTAGCACCGGAGCAGGTTGAAATGATCAGTGGTGGTCAGATGACCTGGGCCTTGTAGGCCATGATAAGAAATTTGCGTTTTATTCTATATACCAAGGAAATTTTTTGAAGGACTTCAAGCAGGGGAGTAGTGCGACCCAATTTTTACTTTTATTTTTTTGTCTAATTTGTATTTTTAAAAGACCGTTTTGGATGTTTGCGGAGAGTATATCAGAAGGGGGCAAGATAGGAGGCAAGGGAGACCAGTATAGTAATGTAGGCTGCTGATGAGGGAGGATGACATGGCTAATACAGTAGCAGTGAAATGAAGAGAAGTTGACTTCGAGATGTATTTTGGAGGTGGAAACCACAAGACTGGCTGATAGATTTGGGTAGGGGCCAAAAGACTGGAGGAAAGAGAGAAATACAGGATGAAAGTCAAGTGTCTGGCTTGAGCAGCTGTCCATTTATTGAGATAACAGAGACAGGGAGAGGATAGTTCTGGGTGTTATGAACTTGCTAAGCTTAAGGTGCTTGTGTGTCTTTCATATGGAGATGTCAGATAGGGCTCAGAGAAGAGATTTCAGTGAGAGACATAGATTTGGGAGTTTTCAATATTTGGATGGCATTTAATTTAGAGTCATAGGTGTAGATGAGATTATTTAGAAGGAGAATGTGGGAGAGAGAAGAGGGCCCAGTACCATGCACTGAAGACCTCCGACAGACAGCTTGAGTAGAGGAAGCACATGCAGTGGAGACAGAGACGGGGCTGCCAGAGAGGTCTTAGAAAACCAAGAGAAGTGTTGATACGGACTCCAGGATGGAGAGGGTTTAGGGAAAGCGGAAGGGGTAATCATGTCAATTACTAATCTAAAAAAGTGGCTGTGGATTTGGTGATAGCGGTCATTAATGACCTTGAGAAGAACAGTTTCAGTTGAACGGATTGAGGATGGGAGTTGTGGAGATCTATGCTTCTCAAACCTAGAGAAGTATATGAATCACCTGGAGAGCTTGTCAAAGTGGGCCAAGATCCCGCATTTCTAATGAGCTCCCAGGTAATTGCCAGTGCTGCTGGTCCATGGAGCACACTTTGAGTAGCAGAGGTATAGATTAGTGGTCCTCAAACTTTAGTGTGTGTTAGAATTACTTGGAGGGCTCGATAAAATACAGATGACTGAACCCATCTCAGAGTTTCTGATTCAGTAGCTCCGGGGTGGTACCTGAGAATTTGCCTTTCTTAGAAATTCCCTGGTGATACTGATGCTGCTGGTCTGGGAACTACACTAGATGTAGATGATTTTTTGGAGAACTTTAACTGTGATAGAAGAACATCAAGGGAAGTCTTTTGTTTGTTTGTTGAAGATGGGAAATAGCTAGAGCATATTTATACTGGTAAGAATGATCTCATAGATAGGAAGAAACTGATCCAAGAGAGAAGGAGAATGAAGAAGTGAAATTCTTGAGAAGATGAGGGGGACAGCTCCAAAGCATGTATCGAGGTCTTGGATTTCGATAAGGAAGGGGCATGTGTCTTTAGTTACAGCAAGAAGGAAGGTGGAGAAGACGGGTCCAAGTGCAGTTGAGTTTATAGACTTGGTGGTAGGCAGATGGAGCTCCCCTGTGATGGTTTCTGTTTTCTCAGTGAAGGCAAGGGCAGCTCTTGAGGCAGGAGGGTGAGTTGGAGGTTTGAGAGATAACATGCCAAATGATCATTTTGGAGTAGGAAAATGAACTGACTAGAAAAAAGCGGCAGTATTGAGAGCCTGTTTGAGGTTAAGGTCAGAAACTAGAAATGAAACCAATCTGTGCATTCTTTTTTCTTCTACCACAGTTAGATCTTTGGATTCATACATGGAGAATTAAATGGTCACGATCACCCAAGGTTAGACTTTATCCAGCTGAGTCCATCAGAGCCAGAGGGTGCAAGGGAGTGATTATAGTCACGGAACATGAAGGGCAATGAAGACAAGACAGGGCTGAGGGATAGACACAAGCAGCGATGACGAGGTCAACACATCAACTTGTCAGGATCCAAGTAAACTAGAAGTAAACTAGGTTTGTGATGGAAAGTGAGTGTTGGCATTCAGAATGATTTAGGTAGGGCAGGTTTTGGTGGGGATAGAGGTCTAAGGTGTGACTGTGAAGGTAGCTGGATAAGGTGGAGCTTCCAGAGAAGTCGGGAAATGAGGATGTTGGATATGCCCTTCAGCTGGACATTGAAGTTGCCAAGAATGATGACAGAAGTTGGGAGTGGAGTCAGATAGGAACTACCTTTTCAGTGATTGATGGAAAATTCCATGTAAGTAGCTAACAGCAGCAGAGAGGGAGAGAGAGTTTATCCGGGTTGTGAGCAAGGGCTTTTATAGAACAGATGGAAAGTAATGGTCTTGAAGTGATAAAGGTTGGCAGGGATTCCTACCGCGCCTTACTAGCCTTGAGGCACCTGGGCTGTAACAGAGATGCCCTCTAATGGCAGGGCTGTCTGCTAGGTAGGACCTAGTTTCCCAGAGATGGAGGGAAGGTTTGGAAAGGAGGTTGAAAATTCATAGGAATTTATAAAAAATTGGGAGTTGAGAGTGAGTGCATAGCGGAAGGGTTTGGGAGTGAAAGGAGGGGACTGGAGCAGGTACAGAGCTGTGAAAGAGGCTTTGGTGGGGGAAAGAGAGTTTGGTAATAGATGACCAGAAAGCCTTACATGTTCATTAGAGAATGAGATAAACAGGAGGATGAGGTGTGATGGAATTTGTCTCAGATGGTTTCTAAAAATAATTAAAACACACATCAGATTTTTTGCTGTAAATGTCCTACATTAGGTGTCCCGAACCTTTTTGGCACCAGGAACCAGTTTCATGGAAGACAGGTTTTCCATGGATGGGGAGGTGGGGTGGGGGAGGGTTTCGGGCTGATTCAAGCACATTACATTTGTTGAGCACTTTATTTCTATTATCATTACATTGGAATATATAATGAAATGATTATACAACTCACCATAATGCAGAATCAGTGGGAGCCCTGAGCTTGTTTTCCTGCAACTAGATGGTCCCATCTGGGGGTGATTGGAGACAGTGACTGGTCTGACAGGAGGCGGAGCTTATGCAGCGATGGGAGCCGTGGGGAGCCATGGGAAGTGGCTGTAAACAGAGATGAAGCTCACCTCCTGCTGTGCAGCTCCACCCCTAACCATAGCCTTGCATGATCTAGCCTCTGCCTGAGTCTCTGACCTCATCCCTTTCTCTTCTCCCTTTGCTCCCTGTGCCTTACTCACACAGGCCAACTTACTTTCTTTCACTCACTCCGGCATCCCATACTTTTCCTGCTTCTGCTGCTTTTTTCATTTGTTTGTTTGCACTTGCTGTTCAGAGCCAGGCGGTTAATAGCGCAAGCTCTGGGTGCAGACTCTCTGCTTTGCCACATTTAGCTTTGTGACCATGGGCAAGTTTATTAACCTCTCTGTGCTTCAATTTCTTTGTGTGTAAATGGGGGAATGATAATAGTACTTATTTCATAGGGATTTTGTGGGATTAAAAGAGCTAGATTAAGAAAAATTAATGTAAAGAGCTTAGAACTGTTCCTTGTATGTGGTAAAGACTCAATGAATGTTAATATGTTAATGGTTACATTACTGTTGCTTCTGCCTGAAGCTTTTTCCCCTATGTCTTTACATAGTTAAGACTTTCATCATTCAGTTCTCTACTCAAATGTACTTCCTCAGATATCCTAGCTAAAGTAGCATAACTCTACTAGCTTTCTGTCACTCTTTATCCCGTTACTCTGTTTTATTTAATCATCGCATTCATCCGTATTAGAAATAATTTTATTGTTTTACTCTTCCTCTCTCCCCCCATTCCCTGAGGGCAGGGATTTGTTGACTTTTTTCCTGCTTCATCTCAACGTCTAGAAAGTGCCGAATACTTTGTAGGTGCTCAACTCATTGTCCCGAAAACATGATGGTTTCCAAGGCCTCTGCTCTGTTCAGGCAGCATGTGGTGGAAGGTGATAGTGAGGTCTAGGCAGGGAAAACAGACGGATTCCAACTCTATGTTTATCAGTCTATTGCTCATCTAGATCAGGCAGCTGCCTGTTTTTGTAAATTTTATTAGAAACACAGCCACACCCATTTTTAAACTTACTGCTCTCCTGCTATAACCACAGAGTTGAGTAGTTGTGACAGAGAGCTTAGGGCTTGCAAAGTCTAAAATATTACTATCTGGCCCTTCACAGAAAAAATTTGCCGACTTCTGATTTAGAAAAGTCTAGAAGGAAACACCAAAAGTCATAACAAGAGGCTTTATTTGGATAGTGGGATTATAGATCATTTTGGTTTTTATCTTTACACCTTTTGTGTATTTTGTTATAGACCCATTTATTAATAATTTGGAAATGAACTAGCCTTCTAAATACTCAAAAATCGTATTTGGAGCACTTTCAATGGTGAGTTTTTTGCTTTATTTTTCTCTCTTTTTTTTTTCTTTTAGTGCTGCTTTTGACACAAAAACTGGGTTACGTGTGGCGGTGAAGAAGCTATCCAGACCATTTCAGTCCATCATTCATGCCAAAAGAACCTACAGAGAACTGCGGTTACTTAAACATATGAAACATGAAAATGTAAGTTTTTCATTCAAGGAAGAATACATTTTATTTTTGAATAAATTGGAAAAAAAGTGTTTTAATTAATTACTGTAAATGGAAATACATTGGAGTGCGTCAAACTTTGGTCCTTGCTTCTCATACTGGGTACATCTTGAAATAAAATGGTACATCTTCCTGAAGTTCTAGTTTTACTCGAAGATTTTTAGAGGGGAAACATTCTTTAAAATTTTAAAATAAAAAGGGTATATATTATGCAGTACCATACAAAAGTCATAAGAATTCTTAAGAGAAAATATTAAAGTAGTAAAAAGAAATTTTGTATTCTTTGCCTGATTTGCCTGTGTTATGGGTTATTTCAATGGAAAAATTTGAGGAAGAGTGTCTTAGGCTCATTGAAAATCCTATCAAAGATGGCTGTTATTTTATGTTTAATAATAATTTTTCTTTTTAACCTTCTTCAAGAGACAGCTTTTCCAGATTCAGGTATTTTATTAAAATATTTATTAAACATGTCAGAGGCATTGTTTAAATTAAATATAACTTTTTCTTTCTTTGAGACCCCACCTACACATCAGGGATATACACATACACACAGGCCTTCATTCCTAGGGCTGCGTAATATCAAGATGGCCTGGCAGCTAACTGATGTGTCTATTAATTTGGTAATTTGAGAACAATGCTATTCTGCAAAGGAGTACTTACAAATCCTAATATGGTAAATAAATGATATAACTGGAATGTTAATTCAAAGTAAAAAAAACAATTGACTAAAAACACTTACCTTTCTGAATTGCAAAATCAAGTTAAGAAGAATTTCTGTGACTGCTGTATGAAAGGTACTGTGCAATTTGTAGCATTGTAGAAACAATGGCCTTGGAGATTTTAGAGTCCCTTGGTCCTACCGACTGTTACTATGTAGAAGAAAATTTAAAATCTGTGTATTTATTACTTGACTATTCACACTTTTTCTTTTTTAATAATTGAACTTTTTTCTCCGTAGTAAGAAAAGAAATCACAGGTAAGTGTTTATTAGTGTACGTTTTTTTAGTGCAAGTTTCTTCTAGTTTGAGAACATTAAAACTTAAATTTGTAATTGGATAATGGATATTATAAT